TGTCCTTTTTATGTCAATCTCTGTGCTTGTGTGTTACTTAGTGCTCTAGGGTGGGTTAATAAGCCGTGGTTTAGCAGCTGCTAACGTGGTCACACTCCTGATGATTATTCGTTTGATTAATTTTCATATTTCATAACCAAACATAGGAAAATCCATCTTTTCAACATTGTCTCTCGGCTGTACAGCGGAGATATAATTTTGTCAACTGTAGATTGCGGTTGTCTAAATGTAACTGATGGGGGATATAAATACGCAAAAACAGTAGCAAAACTTTTTAACACGCCGTGCATGGCATTTTTGTACAATATCACTTTCCAAGAGAGAAAACTAGAGGATTTATCTGAACTAAGGTACCTGAGATTATGGATAAGATGTTTAATATTAAAATGACGTGTAATGATTTATTGAACATGGAAGAAGACCCAGTGAAATGCGTCAGCCTTACTGGGCCTCGCTCAGCTTTCACTTTGCAGATTACTGTCACCGATGTTGATATTCTTGCTTTTACTTCTTTTTTTTTCACCCCCTTTTTCCTTGAACACTGTCGCATGGTTTTACTGCCCAGCCAAATTTGGGGGGCTTGTTTTGAGGTCGTTTGGTTACCGGCTTCCTTTGTTTCAAATTCAACTAAGGAAGCTGATCTGGAGCTGTCCCCTTTTTGCCAAGTTTATTTCTGTGGATGCAAGACAATCACAGACCAAATCTTAGTGCTGGTTTGTTGACTGAACCCATTGTTTTGTTTTGAAGGATGTAGGCTCTCACCAACCTACCCCTCATTGGCCCGAGGTGCTAGACTTTGTCCATTTCACTGCAGAAGCTTCTGTGAATTGTTTGATGTACATCAATCTATTTGTCAGAGTCTTGTAACATGACATCTTTAGAATGTTTGTGACTACATGATTTCAGTAGGCAAGAGTAATTGTTTGGCAGTGTCTTAATGTAATTGAGATCAACCACAGGATACTTTTTGAATGTCTTGGTAAGGAGATGTTTCAGTGCTGTTTGGAAACCTGATGTGTATTTTATTTTATTTTTTTTTATAACGTGTTTCTTTGGTGAGCTTGGTTTTCTTGCATGTTGTACAGCAGAATAATGGAAAGACCTCTGGACCTGAGACGTCTCTGAGAAAAATCATTGTTTCTGGAGCTAACAGTCTGTATAATCTTTTTTTTTTTTTTTTCTTGGACATTACACTAAATTGACATGATTTGTCTGAATAATGAAGCACTTGCCACGCATTTTCTAATCAGTTTCAATAATTAGTGCTTACTCTGTATACCTTTGTATTTTAAAGAAAGCACATGTAATAGTTTCTCATCCTTTTTCTGACAAACAGCTAAATCAGAGTTTGAGATATAGAAGACGAATCGACTTGATCCACTCCAGACACTAAAGACATTAAACTTCTTTTTGTTACACTTTTTCTCACACAAACTTTGTCAGCTGTCATTCTTTTTTTACCAGCTAGACACTATCGACTGATATGTGCTACATTAAGTTTGTCTCCTGTTTGCCTTCTATTTCCACACACTTTATTCAAGCATAACACTTTTTACATCTGAGCTGTTTTGCGTTCATATTTTCTAATTGTATTTTCAGAAAAACAAGGAAAAAAAGCAAAAACAAAACATCAACCTTTTTTTCCTCATGACCTGGGTACAGTGCTTGTGTAGTCTATTGTACCTTTTTGGGAAACAATACTGTATATCTTTGCCTTTGACAGTCTTAACTATCTTACCCTCTGGAGAACTTGAGAGATACCCTTAGAACACAATGAGTATGTTTAAAAAAATATAAACAAAGTAATATTTTGCAAAATGTATCATTCCAATAAAGTTTTACTTGTTAAGACTAAAATGTGTGGCTCGTAGTAATCTTTCACTTTATGCAGCATGTAATTTTATAAATAGATGGTACGGATTTCACTTTTTCCACATAAATCTTAAGTCCTTTGGTTAGCTACACTTACAGTTGTGTTCAAAATGATACCAGTTCAACCAGTATTGGTTCATGAATGAATTGCTCTGGAGGGGGGAGCAACGCACATAATTGAGCTTCCTTATTCTCAGTATAAAAGCAGGGTATCTCTACTTCTCTGCACATCCATAAAAGCAGTAGAAAACTTGCTCGGTCCACAACTAACATGAATTAGATTTTATTTTTTGCTGTTGCCCCTTTCTAGTATCACCTGGGGAAACTGCCCATATGCTCACATCCACAACTTTCTTCAAGCTGAGCATCTCCAGCTCTGGTTTTTGGTAGGAATTATATTCTATTGCAGGAGGTGTAGAATTATTAATGGAAAGTGGCATGTCCCAAATAATACACTGGGATTCAATATGTAGAGTCATTTATTATGTATAAAATGCGTTCAAAAGTTTATTTAAGGACGAGAGCAGCAAATGTAGAGGACTGTGACAGTCTGGGTGAAATAGCTTCTTTCTTCTTAAGTCTACTAATCAAGTAAATCAGCGTGTGCCAACAAGGATTCATCCAATGGTAAGCTCCAGAATGGTCAACAATGGTCTCTTATTACCGGTGAGTGTTGCCACAATTAGAAAATTTTAAAATTTTTAAAACATAATTTGGAACAACTAAACTAAGCAATGCAACATTTTTATGGATGAATTCATTAAAACGGCTGTGACGTTGTTTGGATAGACGGATTACTAGGAGTGGATCTTAAGTGACATCACAACGTCCTGTACCACAGAAAGAGGAGTCCGATTCAGAAACAAGTCAAAAGAAATAAAGTGGACAATGTGCTGAACTGAGTATTTTGCCCATGAAATTCCATGACTCTTTGCAGCATTGTGAGTCACTGGTTATCTGAAACATTTAACTTTGACAAAACAAAAAATGTGTAAGGGGCTGGGGAGGAATTACTTTTACAGCGTATTTTTTTCATCTGTTAAGCTATGAAGTAGTGGTTTGGTAAGTTTGGACCATTTACTAAAGGTAATAAAGATGCAAATGAAAAATGGGAAAGAATAGAAATGTATTTATTTATATGTGGCAAATATGACTAAGGGGAACTGAATGTGAATATAGATATAAAACTAAGGCAGCCACCAAACATTGCCTTTGTGAAAGCTGCAGTTATCACATCCTCTAAAATATAAAAGACAGTAATAAATAGGCAGTTTCATCATTGTGTTCTCATCTGGAGCCTCATTGGATTTTCAGATTTTGTTCATAGTGCTGCTCTAAGAAAAATGGGAATTAAACTTCTGCTTAGGACTTCGAGGCCGGCACAGGTTTAAAAAGAAAAACACAAACAACTCAAAAATTAAAATGTCTTTACATTCATTTTTTGGAGAATTTAGCATGAAATATAATAAGCATTAAAATGACCTGAAATACAGAACTGCAAGTAGTATTCATATAGAAAACTATATCTTGGTAGGTATGTTAGCAGCCATAACCTGAGGTGTTTCATCATTTTTATTGCTTGTTCTGGCCATGAACAAAGTAAATGCAAACTCATCAATAAACAGAGCAATTGACACATATTTCCCCACTATTGTCCCCATAAATTTAGTTTGAGTTCCCGTAGACTTAGTTATACATATATATTTTCTCTCTTGGTTGTTTAATATTAGGTTACCCAAACAATGCGGCTTCTTCAGTGACTACCTCTCCTTACTTAAGGAAAGTTGTACACAAAATGTCTCCTGATGCACTCACAAAAGGGCCGAGAGAAACCTGGCGCGGGCGCTCGCTCCCTTCCAGGACAGCAAATTCCACCTTAAAAGCGGCCTCTAGAGTGAAACTTTTCGCTCCAACTCAGTCAGTCCACCTTAAGCGCACACGCAAACGCAGGAGGCGTAGAGCGAGGTTTCCGCTTCTCAGTGGGGCTCGGACCGCGACTCACGAAAAATCGCCGTGTGAAACGTACAAGCTTGACGCACTTTTAGGTAGAAGGGGAGGGAAAAAAGCGAGGAAAAAAAGATGTCCGAATCCAAGTACCGCGAGTGGATTTTGGATACTATCGACTCGCTGCGGTCTCGAAAAGCCCGGCCGGACTTGGAGAGGATTTGCCGAATGGTCCGGAGGCGACACGGGTCCGAGCCTGACCGAACCTGCGCGGAACTGGAGAAACTGATCCAGGAGCAAACCGTGCTCAAAGTTAACTACAAGGGCTCCATCTCCTACCGGAACGCCGCCAAGGTTCAGCGGCGGAGCAGAAAGAAAGACGATGTTTCGTTAGCCACCGCTGCGAGACGGAGCGCGATGGAAGAAGCCAGTCATTCCGACCTGAGCAACGGGGATAGCGCTTTCGGTGCCGTGGACCAGGACGAGGAGGATTTGGAGGTAATGCAGACCCGATGCAGCGGAGAAAGCCGCGGTTAACGTGTTTACATGTCATTGTCATGTCACATCACGCAAAACGTACAGGTGGAAGTTAAAACAGACATTGTGCAGTTGGGGGGTGAAAAAAATGGTGGAAAAGCTCCTCTTTTTGTTAGTAGAAGGGGAGTGGTGATGGGAGTGATTTGCAAGTGCACCCAAAAAGTGCCGCAGACGGGGAGCGGCGGTTGGAGCTCGCTCGAGCGCTGCCGAGGTGGAGAAGAAAAGAAGGTGCGCGTGTAGCTTGTGCGAGCGTGCCACATTTCACGCTGCGCCGGTTGTTAAAGAAGCACGTTAAAACAACTGCGCAGACGGTTTGAAAACGGTCAACAATCATAAAGTTCTCCTATTTGGTCCGCCCGCAACAATCCCAGCCTCCATTTACAGCAGGCGAGGAGGAGAGGGGGGGGGGGGGGGGGCAAAAGCGCTTTTCAAGCCACAAACTCGGCGTTGAGCGAAAGGGGGAGAAACGGTTTACAGTTAGACCGGAAGTGGACTGATTCAGCCTTCAAAATAATAGCTTTCAAATAGTCTCTATTTAAATAGACTTTTATTTTTGAATTATTTGGGCTGGATTTGCTTGTTGTTGTTGCCTCACGCTTACCATATGGGAGTGGGTAAAGGTGGGGGAAAAAGTGTCGAACACCGCGGATGTAGGAGCCTGATCAGGGACGACGGGACGTTTGATCGTTGATTTTTTTTTTTTCGTAATGTCTGGAAACCAATTGAAACACTACCGTTGGTGGATTGTACCATGCGGCCAAACATATTTTCGCGGTCTGTCGCCAGGGCTTGTGTTTACAAAACGATTAAATCCATAACTATACGCAAAAAGTGACCAACAGAATAAACGCTATGACAAATCACCATTCTGTAGTTTGGTTGTATTTTTATTTCCAGTAATGGGATGGTGGGATTTCTACACAGTGCATAAAGTCGAACCCCTAGATCCATTTTCGGACAGCCTCCCAAACCCGGTCACGTTCAAGACGTGCGTTGACTGTCGCTGTGGTTCCTTCCGTCCTGTGCACAATATGTTTTTTCCACCTTCTTTTTAAAATCTCCCGACAACTCCTTGCAGTATGACGCTTGAGTCAAATCAAAGCAAAGTCGTTTGTCGCGCAGGAACCGGCGGCTGTAAACTAAAAGCGATCGCAAACTGTTTTCCTTGCGCTAGATGGCGGATGCGCCCATCCGATTTGGGTTAAGCCGAGATCAAAATTGACTTTGTTCTCCGAAAGATGTGTGCGTCGCTTAAAAAAAAAAAAAACGAATGCGGCTGGTCAGTGCGACCAGAAGGCTGCTGTTTGACAATTTTGCAATGCGGGGCTTGCGGATGTAGGCGCCTAGGTGTCCGATAACGGATTCATTTCTTTGCGCTGGCTCGTTTTTACACTAAACTGTTGACCCGCTGCAAAGTCAAAGTAGGCTCGTGATCGAGCCGTCTGCTGACGCCGATCGGAGAGCTTCGCTGAAAACCTCGCGTGTATTTCTACTGTGCGGATGTTTTGAGCCGCGACTGGGGGGAAAGCCCTCAGACACAATGGCGAGGTATTTGCCGCGGCTCCCAACTCCATGCGCACTTTGGAGGAAATTTGAGACAGGATAAAACGCCTCCCGTCGGCCCTTTCCGTGCTCCCCGTGTGTTATTAATTTTACCGCTCAACAAGGCCTCTAAAACAAAGCGAGGGGCACGCCGAGCGAGGCGGCTGATTTGTGTGAGACGTCCTGGTTCGGATCCCGACATCGCGATGCTTTTGACAGCGCTTTTTAGTGAAAGTTATGCAAAATGCCATCCTGTGGGGTGAATTCCAAGAAGCGACTCTTTCCACCGGAGCGGGGCGGGCTTTAATGCGCTCTTGTGCACGACTGCTGGGTATAGGACACGCAGTCGCACACAAGGTAATTTTTTTTTTTCCTCCCAGGGCGCCGTCGAGGGGAAAAAAAAAAAGAAAGAAAAAAAAAAAAAAAAAAAACCCTTCTCTTTGCCCGAGTACAAGTGATGAGCACAGATAGTAAAACTAGTTATTGTCCACCAGACTGCGTTGTAATCACGTTTTCACGGACAGTAACCCGTTTGTAATGGCAGGACACGCAGACTAGAGGCACTCAGAGGCAATCATTTACCAAATTGCAACATCAGTATGAGCATGTTGTTGATTTTTTTTGTGTGTGTGTGTGTGTATGTGTGTGTTTTATGATGTGACACCTACATGCAGTCAGTCCCGCTCAACTGTCTTTGCACTTTTTAAAGTGTTTAAGTCTCCAAAAGGTTTGAATGGTGAATGACTGAGGTTTCTAAATGAATAAATTTTTGAAATCTTACATGATTGTGTCTGGCAGGGTGACACCTCTATGGTGATGGACACAGACAGTAATCCTGATGAGGAGGGGGCAGAGGAAAGCCGTGATGGGCAGGACCGACCTTCTCCCAGCCCCCAGCGTGAAGGAGCCTCAGTGCAGTGTGCCCCGGTACGGGCAGCCTCTGCTCCCTGCTCCCCCTCTGGCTCCCGGCCGGGCTCTGGCCCCAACTGCAGCGCTGGCTCTGCTCTGGACTGTGCTGCGTCCCAGAAGCCAGGCGAGAGGCCCAACTCCTTGCCCCCCTCCAGCCCCGCGGTCCTAACACACAATGAATGGGCTTATGATTCTGCTGTCAGCCCAGTGGAGCACCAGCATCCAGGAATGCAGAAGGACAAAGGTATCCACTGGGATGATGTGGGTTGCCGGCGTGTTTTTTTGGGCACGCTGATATTGTTTTATGTGTGGGCTTACATTAAGCTTTGCAGTAGATTCCAAGCTGTGATGGGAACTTTCAAGCAGCTATGATTAATTATTGGATATTTACAGCAGAAATGCAGTAAAGCCAGATGCAGAGCTGTGGGAGGAACTGATGCTTTTGTGAGATCGTGATGCAGGTTAAGTTTTCTCACTAGTTATTTAGGATTCATTTAATCCGCTCTTTTGGTAGCATTGCTTTTTGCTACAGGTCACCTTTAGGGTAAAGTTGGTCCTTATAGGATTGTGTTGGATGGGCGATCAGCTGTTTTCTAATTCTGTGTTTGCAGTAGAACTGAAGCCAGCAGACCACTCTGGAACAATGATCCCCAGCGCTTTAACCAACGGAAAGAAAGAAGCAGAAAGCAGGGAGGACAGCAGCAGCCTCTCATCTGACCAGTTGGTACCCGACTCCACAGCACGCCCGGTAACTGACCTGCCATCCGCTTATTGTGTCAAACAGCAACTGCATTCTTACATGACGTTTTCATTTTGAATTCATTCATTTCGGCCAACAGGATGAAGTCAGGAATGTCTCTGATGGAAGATTACAGATGGTGTCTCCGTCCCCTGAAAACGGTGAGTGTTGGTTTACTAGTTAATCTTTTGTTTCATGTGGGTTTCTTTCACATAAATATTCTTTTTTTCTGTGCTGCTCACTAACTTGGAAAGTGATTTCATGATAAACTGTCAACTCTGATAAAAGTCTGTGTTTAAAATCTATCTCTGGTTGTCATTTGGCTTTTCTTTGCCTGAGGGCTTGCGCAGGATTTTTTGAGTTCTTTGCAAACTTGTCTTGCTACCTTCCATCCAGATGGTCTTTGTTTAGACCAAGTCATTTTTTCTCTTCTTTGCTACTGATATGCTGTTTGTTTCCTAACAGATGGTAATTTTTGGTAAAGGAAGTTCTGTTTTATCATTTGAAACCCGGGAAGTGAGTTTTCTTACTAGTTTTTAATTGGGATATTTGTGGACAAAGGACATATTAGAAATGGACATATGGCACTCATTTTTACCACCACAGACACCACGCCTCTATATGTTATGCTTCTGTTGTTTGCCCAGTAAGAACATCCCACTGAAAGATGCTTATAGATCTCTGTCATGTGTTTCATGCATGCCAAGCAGCAAGAAGCCCATCGTCGGTGTTGTTCAAATAGACAGGCCCAGTTAGGAGCTGCATCATTCACCAAGCCCTCTGTACTGAAGCGTGAACCGTCTCTAATAGAAAAACACATCATACCACGACAGCACAGGCTTCTGTACAGAAAACTAGATGCAAGAAAAAACAAGAAACATCTTTCCTAGTTAACGTTTCGTCTCACAAATGAATGCCATTGCATATTGTTGAATAGATTTGTTCTCCTGGAAATATTTATACCAAATAAAAGTGTTTTGTCTTCACATGACCAAACTGGCACATATATAAATAAAAACAATAGCAACCAAGTTATAGTTTCATAGAATAATGAAGCTTGTTTTTGTCTACAGGTACGCTTAAGAAGATCGAGTCGCCCTTCACAGCGGCTGAAGGCGGTCTCATCAATGGTGGTACAGGTGGTGAAGTGTGAGTATCCTGCTATTATTTTGAATCTATAGATACATTATTCAGTCACTCATGATAAGCTAACTTCCTATAAAAGTTGAGTATTTCCCATGTTTTAACAAGTAGGGAAAATGCATTTCAGAATACACAAAGACTTGTGTGTTGCACTACTATATGTTCTGGCATTTCACAGATAAACTTACATTTTTAAAAATAAGTTTATCAAACACTTAATAGATTTCAGCTGTACCATACAGTGCATTGTCACAACCAAAATATCAACGGGTTTTTATGACAGACCAACAAACAGAAAAGCGTAGTTGTTAATTGGAAGAAAAATGATTTATGTTTCACGTTTTTCACCAGTATAAGTCATAATTGTGGCATGTATTCTTATTTGGCGCCCCGAGTGGGTGCTTTGTAACGCTTCCTTTCCCTGCAATTACAGCTGCAAGTCTTCTAGGGTGTGTCTACCAGATTTGTGCATCTTGAGAGAGAAAATTTGTCTTTCTCTTGTTTGCGAAATAGCTGCAGCTCAATTCTAAAAAGATAGAAAACATCTTTTTATTTTTCCAAGACTCGCCACCGATTCTATTAGATTTAGGTATGGACTTGACCACGATTTCAACTCAATGTGTCAGTCACTATTTTGGGTATATGTTTTTTGCAGAATCTAACAGATTTTCCTTTGCAATTGCCTTGTATGCATCTCATTTATCTTTCCATCAACTCTGACCATCTCGATCGCATGATGCTGACACCGCCATAGGACAGCATGTTTGGAGAAGTGCTAGTTTTCCAACACACATGGTTATTAGCGTTGAAGTTTGTGGCTGTGTTGTGACTAAATGTGGGGCTAATTTAAGAAGTATGAATCCTTGTGCTGCGCTCTGTATTTAAAATCAAAGTCACCATTATTTCACGTCTTGCTTTATCTAACATACCGAGCTTTGGGTTTGAAGCTTTTGTGTTCAACATCTCGGTGTTTCAGATACCACCTGTAGACCTTGAAAACTCAAGCTTATCCAGAGTTGATGGATAAGAGGCGGCTGTCTTCAAGATGTAAAGCTAGTTTTCCTCTAATGGAGACACAGTTCTCTAAACATCCTCTTTCATGTGTTAAGGTGTCTTTCATTAAAGCACTGTTATGCCCACTGACATCACCTCACACAGCAGCTTTGTGTTAATGAGAAACAAGCCTTTTGTCCACCTGATCATTTATAAAAACAAACTCATAAACTTGTCATTTGCACAAACAACCATAAGAAAAGCTTGAAAACCTACTCAAAGTGGTACATCAGATTAGTTTTGAAGTCGTTTGTAACTCTTTGTGTTCTATCTTTCTGCAGCTCGGTGAAAATGGAGAAGATGAACCAGAACTTGCTGCAGTGGACTGTGGCAGATGTGGCCAGTTACTTTTCAGCGGCAGGCTTTCCAGAGCAGGCTGTTGCTTTCCGTACACAGGTTAGTTCAGTTCAGGGCGCAAAAAGACCATAACTTCCCTTCATCTGGTAACACTGAGGTAGAATGTTTTTCATGCGTTTTGATTTTCCCTCAACAGGAAATCGACGGGAAGTCTCTCCTCCTGATGCAGCGCAGCGACGTCCTGACGGGCTTGTCCATCCGACTCGGCCCGGCCCTCAAAATCTATGAGCGCCATGTCAAAGTGCTGCAGAGGACCCACTTCCTGGAATGCGACGACATCTGAAGGGATGATCGGCATGACAGACGATGCTGTATGGTCTAAGACATGCATGCAGTCCCTCTACCATCTGGACCCCACTGCCTACCTTCATATATATTAGTAGAAGGTGCATGGAGTGGGACAGGCGGCGGTGGAATTCGGCTTCACTGTGAGAACGACCAGAAACTGAAAGACAGTCATCCTACCTCTCATTGTGGTCTTTGGTTTTTCAAATGGTTTTCTTTTCACCCCTGTGGCCCCTTTGGAGACAAAAGACATCTGCAGGCAAAATCTGTTTAAGCGGAGCAGCGCTGACCTTTCTGCAAGAGCGAAACTTTGGGTAGCAGATGGTAAACAGAGCTGCACCAGGTGGACCACCATAGAAATGGCTGAGTTGCTGCCACAGGTTGGGGTGTCTCCCCATCAACTTTCTGTAAGATTTAAAACTGAAGGTCACAAAGAACATTAAGCACACCAGCTGTTGCTATGTGATGAGATCTAAGCATCAAAGTCGACGTGTCTGCGTTAAAAGTTAAGTCTCATTCCTGAGTTCCCATTCCACCAGTAGCTGCTGCAGTGGATTATTGCTTCAGTGTCTGCCCCACTGAGATATAACCCTTAATGTGTTTTACTATCTGTTCAGTCTTAGTTATAAATGATTGTGGTCTAACGATACAGATTGACTTGGGGGAAATAATACCAGGTGTAAGTGACCATAAAATATGCAGCCCAATATAATGTGCTCTCACATTCAAGCAAAACAAAGTAATAATGTTGCAAGAAACGCTGCTCTTGCTGGTTATGTAGTTTGAAATTCAATAGAGCTGCTAAGGGACTGTTTACGGATAACTTTAAGAAATGCAATATTTTATGTTGTTTGTTTACAATTGGTCTGTCCTGGCGTTGTGTTTTGATGGCCAGTTGAACTGTGTGACATTCCATATTATGTAGTCTTCATCTCAAGTGTAGCCTCTCCCCTTTTTATCTGTAATATGAAACAATTCTTCCAGAGTTGGAAAATAAAGCTCATCTCTCTCAGTTGGTTGATTTTTTGATTGTTTATTCACTTAGAACCTCTCTGGGGAAAACAAGCAGTTTCATTGCATGAATGAGGAAAATATTCCAAACTTTGAAAACATTTAGCTGAAACAAATTTCGGCTAATTTTTTTTTCTGAAAAATCTTGTAAAGTTTGCATCACGGGAGTATCAGTCTAACATTTTGTCGTGATAGCAGCTCCAGGCTGCCAGCAGTTAAACTAACACAATTAGCCACTTCTTTTCCTATCTTAAGGATAAGTGTCCAATGTTTTTTTTAATTTATTTATTTATGCAGTAATATGAAAAAGTGCTTGCCTCCGTCCTGTCTTTCCTTTTTGATGCTCAGTGTTTTCAGAACATGAAACAGTGTAATAAACACTCAAAATTTAAAATCAAGAAGGGGTCACTGTTTTCCACACATCTCTCTCTTTGTATAAACATAAATATATTTGGAGCAATTTGTAATGGGTGTCTTAAAACTTAAAGTAGCAAAATACAAAATGAGACATTTCACTAAATTACACACTTTATGATAAGACTTTACTGCAATTTGCTGCCTTTTATTTGCCCATAAAAGTCCAACAGCCGGATAAAAAAAAAAAAAAAAAAAAGAACAAAATCCATTTACAGTGCATCTCCTTGAATTAGAACGCCATTAAAAAGTTTACACCGTGTTCCAAATTATTATGCAAGTGATATTTTCTCAGATTTTCTTAAAAGGTCAATGCAAATGGTCAGTATAATTTTCAAGTCATGAACTATTACAGTGTAGATCAAATTTTACTGAACAAAGCTCCCCATGAGAACAGTATTTTTTTCAAAAATAAAAAACACTCAAAATGCACTGTTCCAAATTATTTTGCACAGCAGATTTTCTGAACATTTTATGGATTATAAAGAACTGGAAACGGTCATTCTTTCAATGTGCAGCATTAAGTGATCACATGTACTAAAATCAAAAGTTATTTCAATCAAAAACATTTTAACCAGCTGAGTTACATGTAGACATCGGACCCCTTCTTTGATATCACCCGCACAATTCTTGCATCATTGAACTTGTGAGTTTGTGGATAGTTTCTGCTTGAATTTCTTTGCAGAATAACTTCCCAGAGCTGCTGTTTTGATATGAACTGCATTCCACCCTCAGATCTTCTGCTTGAGGATATTCCAAAGGTCAGGGGTGGGGTTAGGGTTGAGGTCAAAGGAGGATGGTGACCACACCATGAGTTTTTCCCCTTTTATGCCCAAAGCAGCCAATGACACAGTGGTATTCATTGCAGCATGGGATGGTGCATTGTCATGCATGAAGATGATTTTGCTACTTGAAAGAAAGTGATCAGTCAGAAAGTCCATATACTTTGCTGAGGTCATTTTCACGCCTTCAGGGACTCTGAAGGGGCCGACCAGCTCTCTGTCCATAATTTCAGCCCAAAAGAATGACACCACCACCTCCTTGCTGATGTCACAGCCATGTTGAGATGTAGTGGCCATCCACCACTAATCCACTACTGCGTCCATCTGGACTGTCCAGGGTTATACAGCAGTCATCAGTGAACAAGTCTGTTTGAAAATTAATCTTCCTGCACAGCGTGGCCTACTGCCACCGTTTCTGCTTGTGACCACTGGTTAGGGATGGCAGAACAGTAGGTTAATGCACCGCCAGCCTCTGGAGGATCCTCCACCTTGAGGTTTCAGAGGCACCAGCAGCTTCAAATAACTGTTTGCTGCTTTGTAAGGGCATTTTAACAGCTGCTCTCTTAATCCGATGAATTTGTCTTACAGAAACCTTCATCATTAAGCCTTTATCTGTACAAACTCATCTTTGTTCTGAATCAGCCACAAATCTCTTCACAGTATGATAACGCTTCAGTTTTTGTTAAATATCTAATGTTTTCATATTTTGTCATACAGCACTGCACTATTTGATGATTTTCATTTGCAGAGCGATCCTTTCTCCTTCCCATATTGCTTACAAACTGTGGCTTGCTTAATAATGTGGAACATCCTTCTTAGGTAGATTTCCTTTAATTGAGCTGACCAGACAAACCAATCAACCCAGCTCTCTGAAATTAATTATAGTGATTCATACAGTGGCCCTGACACACAATACCATTTATAAATTCAATAGCACAACAAAAAATTTCATCTTTATGACACTTAAATCCAATTTGCATAATAATTTGGAACATGGTGTAGTTTGTCAAATGCTTTCAAAAAGTAAAATTAAATGTCATACATAATTTGTCACAGATAAATGTATGTATTATTTTAACTCATATTGTATGAAAACCCAAACTTCACTGCCTCAGCCATTTAAAACACAATGAATTGATGATCACTGGAGGGTAAGCAAAAGAAGCTGGCCATTCAACGTGCTCTATCCAAACATATAGTGGGAAAGTTGAACGAAAGGAAAAAGTGTGGTGGAAAAATGTGCACAAACAATGATAGTGGTAGTTTTGATTAATAATTTTTTTGACTGTTTAAGGGCATAGGGGAGATTTACTGCAGCTGGAGTCAGTGCCACGCACAGACCTCTCATGAACATGAGTTAGAGTTGCTGAATTAGTTATGTTAAGCCACTCTTGAGCCATTCAAGGTCCAATGTGAAGTTTTCACACTAAGTGATTTGGAGAACCGTATCTTCATCTGCTGATATTGGTCCACAGTTTTTTCAAGTCCACAGTCAGAGTTGTATGAATTTACATTTGTCTGTTTGGATTGGATTTCTGAAACACATAAGCTCTTTTGTGGTATTCTGTTTTATGGAGATGCACCTGTTCACCCCTAACCTCATGGATGTGCGCAGGAATGACGGTTCTCCTCCCCAGACTCTATTACAGGATGAAGGGCAGTATGGAAGAGCGGAGGGTGGGATAATCTCTAAACTCCTTTAAATAGCTGCGATGTTTTCCTTTCGCCCACACAGTCATCTGGACGAAGGCCACGATGGTGAAGAACGCCACGGGCACGCACTGGGTCATCACCGTGAAGCCAATCCAGGATCCCAGCTGTGAGTGAGAGTTTTACACACACAAATGGTTCAGCACCAACAGAGCATAATGTGCGTTTTACCAGTAGGTGGCAGCAGTAGCACACATTGTTTGCACAGATTAAGGCACATGGAAATATCTCATTCACTTTTGTGTTAAAATTTACTAACTAGCTCATTTTAAAGCACTTGAAGTGAAATAAATTGTTCTTAAGATTATTCCCCACATCTTTAATATTCAACTGCCTATAAAAACATTTTCCACTCAATGTAAATTCTCTGAAATAAAGCATATTTCTTAAAGTGACAACGTAAAAATATTGGTATATGTTGCTCCTTACCTCATATGTGTAGTTGGGACAAGAGACTAGCCAAAAAATCCATGTGAAGGGATTTTTTGTTGGATAAGGTATTTTCTTGACTTTTGAACCTGAAATAATGAGAAAACTTCTGATTAGTTTGAGAAAAAACAAAATAAACAGAATAAAGAAAGGGGTATTGATAAATATTTACACACAAAAAAGTGATTACCTTGAGCTTTGAGGTTACGCAGTGCAATGTGGATTGAAAAATTTCCTACCTGGCAGAACTTCAGTCATAAAGAAATCAAATGATAAGAATAAAATAAAGCACCAGTTCAATTGATTTAACATTTGCAGGGTATCAAAACCAAAACTTACCAGGAAAATGTAAAGGCCAGCATTCACCTGCTGCTGCCCATAATCTGGAAGCGTTTTAAAGAGAAAAGACCAACGATATCAACTCTGCTTGATGTGGAAAAGCAAATATTGCAGTGGTGAGGTCTTACAGGGTGTAGTGTAGAGTGGATGGTTGATGTAATATGCCATCCAAGCCGCAGAGCACCAGTAATAGCCACAGTTCTGGAAGAGAAAGAGAGCTTTATTTATAGAGTCCATTTCATAAAAAGACATTTTTTAATAACACAATAAATGCAGACCATAAAGCCAAGAAGAAAGAGAATGAAATATACCCAAATATAATAACTGAGTAAAGCTGAAACGACTCCACAACAAGGGACCTTTTGAATTTGCTTTCAAAGAAAGACATTGCAATTATTGTGACTCTTCAAGTAAACAGCATGAGGAGAAGACCTTTCTGTGAATACCATAAAGGTCAGTGACATGTGAGCACCCAATCTAAACCCGGGTCCGTTCAGACTCGTGCATTTCCACAATTTTCTTCCTGATATCTTGGCTGATTTCTTTTGACTTTCCATTTGTGTCAAACAAGATGGCAGTGTGTTTAAGGTGGGGCTGTTAATAATTAGCCTGTCAGAGGCTTGTGGAAGAAAACCCAGAAAGTTTGACCCAACTCATCCAATTGAAAAGACAATTATCCTTGATATAATATAAGCTGCAATTTCAAGATTGCAGATAAAAGTAACTTGAGGGCCTTCATAGGTCATAAAATTGAAAATGTAACTCTGGTCATGAGAAAACAGAAAAGAAGTAAAACAGTCTGAGTTAAGCTGTGAGCTCACTTAAAATAGCTTCAAATAACTTCACCTTAAATATGTTTCTGAGAGGCATGGTCCCATGGGAGATACGATGGACAAACAGAGTCTCCAAAACCCTCTTGATGTAGTGGAAGGAGTGACATAAGCAAGCCAAGCTGCAACAGAACACACATACATATAAACACATGTGTATTTTGGTCATGATTCAAACTTTTAAATCAGGACTAAACATCATTCTGGCACCTGAGTCATGTTTGAGCAAAAGATTAAGACACTGGAAAAAATTGACTAATTGAAACTTACTGCACAACCCAGTGCTTGCTGCTGGTGAAATCATACTTTGGAGAGTAAATGAAGGGAAGGCGGAAGTAGAACATTAGGTAAAGAATCAACGGACCAATGCATTCGGCTAAAAACACCTGAAACGAGAAATTACAACCAGTTTATTATACACAAATAGTGCTGGCTACATTTATTGGTGCAAATGGGGGAAAATGTGTGTATATTTATTTTTATTGCAGGAGCATAACACAGAACAAAAGTTTTAGCCCAGTTATTCAGTAGAAAAAAAAACATCTGCTAGGAAATAGTTCCTCTAAAAATATTTAAATAGAGTTTAATTATTATTATTTTTTTATATACTTGACTTTTTAAGCTGTTCATAATTTCCAGGAACTGCTAATTAATAATTCATATCTTTCTGTTTAAACAAGGTCTATTTCAGGTCATTAGGCTGAATGAGTACCCATATTTACCTTTCTAACTGGCACAGTGAGGGCAATAATAAGGGATATGAAAAGAATATTCAAAGTTCACTGTAGTACAAAGTAGCATTTTGGGATCACTGTGTCTGAATCACAACCACTAGATAATATCAATGGAGAAAACCAGGATTTCTGGGAGGAACCTCAAAAAACCTCTTCTGCACTATCACAAACATAAACATATAGTTTGCTAAAAGCTACAGAAATTTTAACAGGCATAATTTTTTTGGGTTAGATGCTTTTCAGACATAAACCTCCAGGTAGGTTTGAAGCATGGTATAAGACCTTAAATATGGTCAAAGTGGGAATATAGTTAGAGTCTATCACATAGTGACTGCTTTAAAATATAAGAACATTTTAAATCAAACTGCACTGCTAAAATGAAAATAGGTAATTGCTGAATCTTTTTCTTCGATCAAAAACATTCGACCAAATTAACACCAAAATGGTTGAAAAGATTCAAAACTCCACCTCTGTTCACAGCCATCTGACTCCCATGACTCTAACAGTAAACCTGCACAGCATACTGTATGAAACTTAGTCACCAGGAAACTTTAAATACCGGATATCTGAAGGGAATGTTGGCGGTGTAAAATATCTGCCAAAAGGAGACCTAACTGGTGTAACTGACACCAGTAAAGGCCTTGGCTTCTCCAGGAGCTCATTTTACCGTGACACCTCAGCGCAGAAGCAGTTGCCCTACTTTCTCCGAGCTGTCACATTTAATATAAAATAATACACCTATAAGGCAAATCTTACAACTTGTAACACTTATACGATCAAGCGGAGCGTCTCAGCTGACAGTGAAAACAGATTCCTGTGTCAGCACCTCCAGGAGGAGCCTGAGCTCAAGTTGCCTGACCGGTAGCACCTGGTGGTTTCGGCTCGGGCAAGTCGTGATTCTCCACCTACAACGTCACCTATGAAGGTGTCGGAGGTTGAGTCGGATGAAAGAACAGTGTAGGTAATGGTGAATAATGAGGCACAGTAAAAGGCAAGTGAGAGGTCAGAGGGATAAACACCTTCGGCAGAAATGAGGCCATGAGATTATATGTCCTGCTGGAGAGGACACGCAGTGCAGCGGGTGGGAGGGAGCGTGAACGACAGCAAATCACCTCTATCTGTCACTGCAGACTGGTATTTATGCACAGGAGGTACTGAGGGTGTCGGTTTATATTTAAAGCACATGAATGTTAGGGGACTACTGAAGCGGATTCAACGCTTTGAAAAATGAGGTGAAAATCTCTCTCTTTAGGTTTTGCCTTTTATTTATGTGCAAGACTTCAATAGGCACACATGTCAATAAAAAAGCTATTGAGAAACAGATTAGAAGATCTCGCACACTTGAAAAACAAATCTAATTTACCACATTAAGTGAAGAAAAGCTCTTTTAGTCAAGTAAAAACAAGTTTAAACTTTTAGCCAAATAACGATTGATTACCATTTCCCCATGAAATAGACAAAAACGTTGAGTGTATTTGTGTGGCCTTACTGTTCCCCATGTGAGCTGGGGTCCCAGGTCACTGAAATAAAAGCTGGCTGTGGTTCCCACAGGTAGCGTTTGGAGAACTTCCTCGTCCCTCAGACACTTGGCCTCTAAAATAATTGATAATCAGACAATATATCATTATATTATCCAAATACTCTCTAACCAGTGACTCTGCATACGTGAGAGAGCAGGATGAAAAGCATGCAGATGTACTTGGATCCAAACGCAGAGACTGTCTGGCTGGATACCACTTTGGATCTGAGAAATAAAAAAACACAGTATGGGCTTCGCTCTTGGTATTCTAAATATTTAAATAAATATGTATTTTTTAAAATGTTTGTACATCAATTTGGTTATGAGCATAATTTCCGAAAACCAGCACTCTGAATGATGAACTTACATGATTTGTGAAACAAGGATTTAATATCCAAAACTGTGGCTGTTGGTTCCACCTAGAGTGTGAAGATAAAGAACATGCATGCATGATCACTGTCACACCGTGCCTTTAAAATTCAACATAAATAACACTTGTTTTATACCTGTGTGCTTTTTTCATTATCAGTACCCCACAGTATGTTTATGCAAGCGGCTTATCATGTCTGTCTATCTTCATGACATGCAGCACAAGCATGTGTTGTAGCTGGAATAGATCATTCTTCAGGGATGAAAAGGGAATTCTCACCTCTTAAATGCAACGCTTGCTCAATAGACACGTAACTGATAATGACAAAGTCAGGTAACGAGTGGATTATTCGGGATTCATTTGTAAAATGACACATGTGCTTCATATTTTTCAATTTAATTCAAAACATCTGACCTGAAAAGATTTGTACCTGCGATGAGAATCAGAATATCCCTAAACTTATTAACAACGCAGAACATGAGACTCACCTTGTCCAGCAACAGCAACTTCTCTTTAGTCTTAAAATCCAAGATCTCCACCTCAAAGTAAACAATCCTTTTAGTCTTCTTGGGCGCTTTTGGCTTTGGCTTGGGTGTAGGCTTCTTTTCAGCTTCTGCTCCATTTTGGCTTTTTGCTTCTAAGGCTAGAATATCCATGATATGATGGTGTTTGAGCCAAAACTTTAAAAAAATTAAATAAAATACAGTGAAGTAAACTGTGATGTCCTAGTTACACTAAAAGTAAAAGTTCCCAGGATACACCTACAGTTTGTCTTGCAAAATCTTAGGATCCAAACTGCTGATATTTCAGAAAAGACATAAAAAAAGCCTCTTCCAGGGTTCAGAGAGGAGATGGAGTTTAAATGAAAAAGAAGAGCTGGTTTGAGACTATGAGACAGACCTGCTCAGTACCTGAACAGCAACCTCATGGACATCCACAGTCGTTGCATGAAACAAAACGCACCGAAGACGAAACTGGAGAGCCCCAAGACATAATCCATAGCGCACCATTTGCAAGGCTAAATATAAGTCGCCCAATTCGCTCAGCACCAGCTTGGTAACCTCAGGAAGCCGTATGAAGCTCCACTCAGTGACACATGCAATACGCCCTCATTAGACTTGTAAAACAAAACACATATCCTGTCTGTTTTGCTGCACACTTGGTTGCAAAATCTCCATCTGCCAACACATGGTGCCCCAGCCCACTACCCTGAGACCACCCATGGAGCTGGCAATCTCTTCTTCTGAAACTCTGGAACAAAGACAACATGTTCATCTCTGGAGCTCTGTGTTAAATCATCTCTGAAAGCTTTGTGGTGGGAGGAGAGGGAAGAAAATGCTGATTGGGAAGAGATCAGAGATACCTTTCATCACACAGGGTCAGCGCATCAGCTCACATAGCCAGCTGCATAACTGTATTCTACTCTCTATTTATAACAGGTTCGAGCTGTACAACCAGGCAGTAAACAACAGACGTTCTCGTTGAGGCCCTGATTAAAAACATTCCTGTGTCACGCTTAATGGTCGGCAAAGACCAAAAGAAGCAAGAATTCTGAAAACTGGATAAATATGATACATTTTTGTGGACTTGGTAAATGAAAGTTGAAAATGCAGAGTGCTAATTAAAGGGGTTTAATTGTTTTTTTTTTTTGTTATTCTTGATTTCTGTAGTGAAGCACACAAGCTTGAGTTATAGGTTATAGGTTTGTTTTAAACAAAAGGAAACTTGAACACTTTCTGAGAAAAAAAGCTAAATAAAAGCGGTTTTCATTATTCTCTTTAAACATGAATCTTAAATTGGCCACGCACTGAGTGCAATGGAGTGACGATCTTTAAGGTTTCTAAATCTGTGGTCTTATGTAAAATTGACTTTTCTGGGCTTAATATCGTTTTATAATGTTATTTCCTCTCCAAAAACCCACCTGGAGTGTTGCTTTGATTCTTTTACACACCTTTAAGGAATCCTTGACTCTCTTGTGGCAACCACCGCACTCAGCTCCTCTAGACTAGCAGCAGCAGAAGTTAGCAAACACCTGGTGGAACTATGTGTCTGCTGAGAAGTATGTCTAAGTCCTAAACTCATAAATACAGTGGTGAAAGGGAGTGGCATTGTTGTGATGAAGTGCCATCGGTGGAGATGGAGGCCCAATATCAAGACGTCAAAATGCAAAGTCAACTTTCTTTACAGTAAGTCAGCTTTGACATAAACAGCATTTTTATAATACCTGAAGGGAACCTCATTACTTTATTGTGTTCCTGAGAAATTGTTGGAATAATTGTATGTAAGTTATCCCATGTATTGTTTTTCTTACTATGTATGTTGGAATGCTGTAAAACTGTTACTGTGAAGATTGACTACTTATTCTGTTTGATGTCTGGAACAAGATTATCACCTACAAGATAATTGTGTTACATAGAAGGAGAGGCAATCACAATATACATTATCAAAGTACTGTCTTTGCATCTCCTGAGGTTATAGTTTGTTTGTTGTCTCTGCGATCATAAAGTTCATTTCCTGAGACTTTGGGTTGTATGCAAACGACCCATTCTTCCTATCAGACTGGATGTTGCCCTGGCCATCCGAGGTGACAGAATCATCGCTTCAAAGATAAAAGAAACACAAATCGATCCCAGGGGCATTGTATTCTCCTGGTCTTTGTATTTGTATTTGTATTTGTATCTAACACTTAGTTGGGAATTGAGAACTGGCACTGTAGCTGTGTGATGAATTGTTTACCCAACGCCTTTTTAGAGCTACAGTGTCCTTGTGTAACCAGGGTGACCTAAGGAAATAACAGGCGTTGAGAGCCAAGACGTACTCAGAGTGTGTTGGAGATTGTAACTGATGTACGTCTCTGGGGCACTCTCCTCGCGAGTAAAACTTAACTGATGTGTTCTGTCTTTCTTTCCAGGTAGTGTTTTACTAATGTTAGGGGTTTAAACCTGACAGAAATACATAATACCACCTCTTTAAAAATCAAGACATTTTGTTATTTTCCCAGCTTAAGAAAACTTTAAAGGGGAGAGGTCATGGTGACACATTACAATCGAAGGTAGTGTGATGTCAGGGTTGTAAGACTCTGAATAGGTTCATATTGTACACAACAATAAGTTCCCTCTTGGCAAGTTCATACAAGAGTCTCTGCTGTGACACGTGTGACTGAATCAAAAGGCTAAATTACTTCCTCCATCTTCAGTCACATTCTCCATTCCTGCTATGACCTCATAGTTTGATTCAGGTGTGTTGAAGCAGAGAGACATCCAGAATTTGCAAAGAACCACAAGCCATACATTTTTTTATGTTAAATTTTAACAAGGTTGACAGGATCTTGTCAAGTACTACAACATGCACACCTTGAAAACGGGGCCAAAGTTTGAGGTATTTTTCTGCATGTCACAGTGTTGACTGTTAAACTTGTATAAAATTGTGTATTACAGGACAGTTGGCACGCATAAAATGAAAGGACACACTGGATAGCACTGCAATCTTAGCATGGGCTTGACTTAATTACACAGAATAGAATATAATGATAAATTGCCAAATCTTTGCATTCTCAGTAAGTCTGTAGAGAGTTACATTTATCACTCAGAGGCCTGTTTGAATTCTGAGAAATATTGCATTTTCCCTGAAGCATTGCATCTACGCCCAGGAAGACAAACATCTGTCTTAAATATTTTCAGCTTGTGGATAATCACTGTAGAATATCCCTGACTGTTTGGAAAGTGCCTGACAACGGTTCCCAGATTGACGGGCAGCAACAATTGCTTCAGTAAGGTCATTGGTGACGTCTGTTCTTGGCATTGTGGCAACATGCACCTCAGCTGGATGCTCTGGACGGTCAAGCTGCCAACTCTCCCGTTTGAGGTGGTCAGACTTCCCGGTATTCAATCCATGAAATGCATTTGGTTGACAGCTTGACAGATACTCTTCCCTCTTGAATTCTATGAAAAGCTTTTAGTGTTTTTTTTTTCTCTCTTTACTTACAGTTTCAGCTCCTTCTTTTTCATCTAAACAATATCTTTGCTCTCGTATTATATTTTTTGTCACACTTAAAATGTGACAAAAAATGTTTCATATCATCTGGATAACCTAAGCAAGTGACAACTTAAGTTTTCAAATGGTGAATTTTTTCATGAATGGGAAAGCTATCCAAATCAACCTGAATCTATGAAAACAACAACAACAAAAAAACTGACCACTAAACACAATAAAGGCTTGTTCCACCTGTGATGATTCCAAGTGTTTTTGAAAACTAACAATTGACATTTAACATTGTTGTGGAGGAATTTTGGTCTGTTGTTCTTCACAAAGTTGTTTTATTTTAGACATGTAAAAAAATGTCTGAGCATGAATAGCCTGTTTTAGGGCGTGACGCAGCCTCTCTGTGGTATTTGTCTAGTCCATTCTGATGCAGTCACTTCGCTACTGCATTAGAGGTACTCAGAGGTGGACTGGCTGGTGTCGTCACAAACTGATCGCCTGACACTCTCCTTCAGGATTTTCTTGCAGTGTGCAGAATTCAGATACCATCAATCATGGCAAGTTGCAGACGACCTGAAGAAACAAAAAAGTCTCACGTCTTCTTGTTTTGGAACTTTTTCATGGATACAATGTTTTTTCCTATTTTGTTGTTATTATTGCATTAAGAGCACCTTCACTGAGGCAAGTGAGGGCTGTGATGCTGTAGATGCTGTTCTGGGTTCTTTTGTGATATCCTGCATGATTCCTTGATCTGCTCTTGAAATAATAACAGCGTGCTCAGTGGTAGTCAGCCAATCTCTCCTGGGAAAGTTCACCACTGTTCCATGTTTTCTCCATGAGGGGTGGATTATTTTCTGTGCCTCAGTGCTTCAGCTTTCAGAAACTGTAACAACAACAACAACAACAACAACAACAACAACAACAACAACAACAACAACAACAACAACAACAACAACAACAACAACAACAACAACAACAACAAAAACCTGGTCATCACTGTCAAATAATGATTTAACAATGGACAGTAACCAAGGTCAGGGATTTTTTTCTGATTATGCATTTTCTATCTATTCTCAGATTTCTTTCTCTTTTTTTGAGGATTTGAAACAAACCTTCAGAATACATTTTGACAGATATATTGTAAAAATATAATTTTAGTGAAAATTTCTTGGATATTCCTTGAAGAAGAAATCGTATAAGTTACATTTTTTGCGCTTGAGGAACGAACGTCTAAATATCTAATAACGTATTCCTAAACAGCGTTGATTTATTTTGAAAGGCACGAAAGCGGAACTCCTCGTCAGCAGACGCGTCTCTGTTCTTAATGGACAACAAGGATTAAACAAAAGGTCATTTCCAAATTTCAAAACATAACATACTAGTTTCATTCATGGGAGTTCGGTTGGTTGCCTAGTTCAGTTTAAAAACAACAAAGTCCACCGTCGCACCTGTAACTAGGTCAGGTGAAACCGGAAGTTGTTTGGAGGGAATCCTCTCGACCTACATTCGTCAGCTTCTTCCAGAAGTTTCTGTGCCCGGCTTCTGTTCAGCGCAGCGGCATCTCATCTCTAAGTACACTTTGTTCTTCACTTTTTTCATTAATTAAAAAAGCAAGATAAATTAGCGGAACCTTTTTCGTCGGCTTTTCCGCGCAAAACCGAAAGTTTTCCTCGGACTGTCACGGCCACACTGAGAGTTTTTCGCCCGCCGGAGGTGACACCAGCTGCGGCGTGGGCAAAGCAAGTTGAGTAGCCGCACACATGAACGCCTGGATGTCCCCGATGGCTGTGCTTTCATAACGGAGGTGGGGGAATCTGGAGCTGACCGTTCAGTGTGATGGGTAAAGATTATTACAATGTGCTGGGAATAGCCAGAGGTGCGTCCGACGACGAGATCAAAAAGGCGTACAGAAAGAAGGCTCTGCGCTTCCATCCGGACAAAAACAAATCGCCCGGAGCCGAAGACAAATTCAAGGAGGTTGCTGAAGCTTATGATGTCCTCAGTGACGCCAAGAAAAGAGACATTTACGATCGTTTAGGAGAAGAAGGTACTTGAACTCTCTCACACAAGTTGCATGCTGCTTTCTAGTTTTCACCACTTTACCCTAATGCTAGCATAATTTCGTCCTCGGATATTTTAATGCATACTTGCAATCGGTGTGTTATTTGCAATAGAGTGAGATTTCCTGCATCTTTCTGCATCAGCTGTCACGCTATATAAAGGTCCGTGCACAATGGATGCA